AAATAGCGAAAACCCCACAAAAAAAAAAAAAAAAAAAAAAGGCTGAGTGAAGCCTCTCTCTGCTCCTGCAGCCCCATCACAAGTACCCAGGGTCATGTCTGACTGCTTCAGAGCCAGTCCCACCAGGGCCCATGTGGAGCTATGTCCTCTCTGATCCCTGGCGCCCAGCCTAGAGTGGTATGGAAGGAGCTGCGGCCTCGCACCTACCTGCCCCAGCCTCGGGATCATCCTGTGGCATCCCCTAGCTGGTGACCCAGGACCCGGAGCAAATAGCTGCTGTTTGACCATGGCCGAGACGCCCACTCCCAGCCCCCTGCCCCATCCTGTGGAGTGCGGTGGACACGCAGTGTAGAGAGGCTGGAGCGGGAGGGCCCGGGCTTTGTACGGAGCTGCAACCCCGGCTTCTCTCCAGACTAGCTATGACGGCACGTTGCAAGCTGTCAAGGGGCAAGAGTGAACGTGCCCGCCGAGCTCACCTGTGAAGGTGTCGGGCTTCTCCAGGGAGCCTCGGGTTGGCCCGAAGCTGTCAAGGGCATCCAGGCGTGTCTCTGAGTATGGCAGCAGATCCAGGGGGTCCAGTGTAGGGCCTGGGGGGTCGAGGGCGTCCAGCACGGAGGCAGCCAGCTTCTTGGATGGGTCCATGACCAGGCCAAAGGAGGCGGGGGGCAGTGGGCTGGAGACGGGGACGGAGCCGCCCACCACAGGAGGCAACAGTGGGGTCCCACCGGGGAAGACAGGTATCAGCTGGGGCAACTCACTGGGCACGCCGCTGCCAGGCAGGGCCCCCTGGACCAGAGACTGTGAGGCAGGGAAGAGCGAGGGGGGGCGTCAGAGGAGAACACCACCTGCTGGCCTGGGCAGAGCTGGGCATTCTGGGAAGCAAGCAGGCTGCCCTCTGGGACTTAGCCCCCGCCTTGCCGACGAGGGGGCCAGGGCTCTAAGTCCCTTCAGGGATACATCCTGCAGCTTCATTCATCCCAAGTCCCTCCCAAGGCCTCCTCCTGTGCCTCAGTTTCCCACCCTGTGACATGGAGACCATTTTCCTCCCATGTCCAGTGGGACCCTGGGGTGCTGGGTGGGAGGGGGCTCAGGGGAGTAGGAGGGTATCAGCTTGCTCACCAGCGAGTCCAGGAGGGTGTCCAGCTCCGGACCAAAGACATCCCCATCAGAGAAGTCGTCCAGGCCCCCGGTGCCCGGCAGGGCCCTGCTGCTGCTGTCCAGGGGAGCCAGCAGGTCCAGGACGTGAGGGAACAGGGGCATCGTGGGGGTGGAGGAGAGGAGGGCTGGGGAGCCCCGCAGGTCCACGTAGCAGTCTGTGGGTGGCAGGGGCTCAGTTGCTGAATGGGGTGCTGCTCGGTGGGAACGGGGGTGGGTCCCAACACCCTCCCTTCTCTCCTGGCTCTTGCCGGGAACCTTGCTGGCCTGCTCAGCAGAGGCTCAGCCACAGTCGTGGCAGCAGCCTTGGGTGGGACAGGGTCTCTGGGTCCTACGGCATCTCCCCGATGGCCCTGGCTCAGCGCCTCGACAGCCCCCATGTTACCTCCTCCCCGGAGGGCAAGCCAGGGCCTCGCTGAGGGCACCTTTAATATGCAGTCCTTCCTGGGAGCCAGCCAGGAAGAGAAAGGGAAAGGTGGCCTCTGAAGGAGGTGAACTTGGGGCTGGGGACAGGCAGGCCAGAAGTGACAGGCCCAGGACAGTCACTAACTCCCTGGAGGGCTGTCCCCTCTGTAACAGGAAGCTGCTGTCCTCAACCCACTGTTTCCTCTCCTGCTCCAGGGCAGCTCCAGGGCCGAGGGCTCCCCGGGAGTGGCAGTCGGCAGGGTTCGCCTGACACCAGGGCCTCGGTGTGAAGGGCTGAGCCCTCCCTTGGGCCCCACCTCTGCCTGGCCCTCTCTGTCAGGGACACTACCTGTTTCGATGTCATCTATGGACCCCAATCCATTGGAAGTTCCCTGTGGAGAGGAAGGATGTGGAGGGTCAGGCAGAGGCAGGCTGGGAAGGTAATGGTGCCGGCACTCAGGGCCCACGGTCCTGCCCACGTGCCAGCACCGATGAGCACTCAGGACACTGAGCAGGGCGCTCACTCCAGGGTGCCCAGCAAGGGAACCGAGAGCCGGGCTGTGGGAGCAGTGACCCTCACTGCGGCCCAGGAAGGGATAGATCTCTGAGCCTCAGTTTCCCCACCAGTCACAAGGTAGGGCCCACACCCTGGGGAGGGTTTTAGTATCCCCGTCCCTCCCACCCCATGGCCACACTATGCACAGAGACAAATGGGTCCATTCCCTGAAACACTGGTGTCCCCTTTCCCCATAAAGCCGCAGCCCGCCCCCCGGAATCAGACAAGAGGGGCAGCCAGGTGGGGTCCTTCTGTTGGAGGGAAGGTGCTCTGTGGCCTGACCAAGTCCCTCCTCCTCTCCGGGCCTGTCTTCCCACCTGCAAAGTGAGGACTTGCCATCGTCTTCCTCCTGACGTGACTCTGCAAGAGCTTAGAACAGAGGCGGGCACACGGGAAGCCCCTGGCACGTGCTCTTAGGAGCATGACACACATTTTAAGCCCAGGCCACCAGAAGGCTGGCCAGGGTGCGCTGGGGATCTAATTCGCTGGTCTCCATGCCAGGCCCTAGCACATCCCCACACTCACCCCCACCTCCACCTTACACTCATCTACCCGGAACGTCCTTCCCTTCTCCGAGTCCTGAAGGTCTGGCGGATGCCCTGGGAGCCTCAGCCTTGTGGGTGCTCCCTCAGAGGGCAGGGGGAGGAGCCACCCTCTCCTGGGGACCAGCAGTAGCAGTAACAGCACAGGTTCGTCCAGCACCGTGCTCACATGAGGCCCGGGCCACACTTCACACCCGCCGCCACGTTGAGCCCTTTGTCCAGGCACCTGTGAGACGCTGTCCACCGACGTCAGGCCAGAAGGCAGTCTCACAGGTCAGAGTTGGGTGGCCTGACCCAGACCCCACCCCTGGGCCTGGGTGCTCCCCAGCTCCACCCCCACAGAGCATCCCTCCCCCACTCCTCTCCTGGCCAAGCCTGAGCATGGAGCACATGGCAAATACATGCACTCAACCATCATGCTGACCGAAGGGCTGCTCTTGGCACCAAAGTAACAGAACTTCCTAGCGACAGGAGACACCAGATGGACAGCTCTAGGTAGAGCTGGATGCTCCCTGCCAGGTGCTGCCCGTGTCCCAAGGCCCCACAGGCCAAAACCACCTCCTCAGTCCTCCTCCCCTCCAGGCTCATTTCTCCTGCGCCCTTGCATGGACTCCTGCTAGTAACATTCATTTTGCAACAAAAGTTTGCAGAGACCATCTCCCCGGCAGGTGCTGTGCTGAGAGCTTTTTCACAGTTCAAGTCCTGGACCTGGGGGCTTGTCTTCTCACTTTCCCTCTCTCCCTCTCTCTGTCTCTCTGTTGAGCACATGTACCTTATGGGAAAAAAAAATTTTTTTTGAGAGGTTTTTGCTATAGGGCGCGTGCGCTCGCCAGACAGAGAGAGAGAGATAGAGAGACACGAACCACGGTCGACTACGTGGGAGTCCAGCGACAGAGCCATTACGCTAACTGCTGGTCCTGTCCCACTCTTTTCTTTTTTAAAAATTTTCCATAAGGAGGACCAGCAGTTAGCGTAATGGCTCTGTCGCTGGACTCCGACGTAGTCGACTGCAGTTCGAGTCCTAGACCCAGTGGCTTAAACTCACACCGGGCGCATGTGCGTGTGTGCCCAAGATCCCAAGAGAATGGAGGAGAAGAGATTGCAGCGTGACCATCCCCCCTGGGGGAGATTTCTCCTTTTCTGTCTCTCTGTCTCTCTTTCTGGAGAGCACACATGCCCTATAGCAAAAACCTCTCCAAATAAAAAGACTAGTAAATAAATAATTCTTAATAAACAAAAAAACAAAAAGCAAAAAAATAATTCAGGACACCAGGCCCTGAGAAGAGCCACGCAGAGAGAGGGTGCACCAGGGTCTGAACCAAAATGTATCCAGCTGCAGAACTCAAGCTCTTCTGCTCTCATGGTCTGGGATCTCCCTCTCCCACCTCAAGGCCTGCGCTCAGGCTGTTTCCCAGCCATGAGTGCCATTCCCTACCCTCCTCTCCAGCCAAGGCTGCTGTGGCTCTGTCCCTAGAACTCACAGCCCTCTTGTGTCTTGCTCCCCTCGCTGCCAAGTGGAGCTGCTGCACAGACCTGGGCCTTGCAGGGCAGTACCCACCTCTTGGGACACAGCCCTGTCGTCCCTACTTCTAGACACGTGTGTGGGATGACAGACAGACTGAATGGCTAAGACTCCCATGCTGGTGAGCCCCGCAGGGTTCCCAGCAGCCACTGCTCACACCTGTCTGGGTACAACTTGTAGAAGGCCAGGGGCTCTGCTGGAAGGCCACCCGCCTCATGTATGTGTGTTTATGTATATGTACCTACACATATGCATGTGCACACCGCACCTGAGTGAAGCCAGTGTGACCTGGGCCCCTCCGCCATGCAGTCCACTCTGCTTGGGCTTCTCACAGACCAGGACCAGCCCTGATCTCTGTGAATGTGGTAGGGGCTGTGAATTCTCAGGGATGGGTGGAGGGTCTGGAAGAGGCTGGGAGACCTGGTGCCCAGCATGGTGCCATCTATGGCCCACGAGCTGCATTCTGGGCAGAGCACAGCCCACACGGGAGGTGCCAAATAAATACAGAGCAGGCATCCTGCCGACATCCACTGTGGCCCTCAGGCTGTGGTCATCTTGTCAGTCAGCAAATACCTGAGCATCTGCTATGCCCGCCCCGCCCCACCTCTGCTTGCTGTGATGAGCAGCTCCCACCCTGCAGCACCCCAGTGCCCAGGTCAAGAACAGACACACAGAGGGCCTCAAGTATCCCCTGGATTAATGAACAGAATCAATGTTATCACCTCCCCCTTTTAAAAAGCATACCAGAGGATGCATGTGCTTGCCAGAGAGAGGGAGGGAGAAAGGATGAAAGCACCCCGATGGGGGATGGTCACACTGTCCCTTCTTCATTCTCCTCTCGGGATTTTGGGCACACATGCACATATGCCTGGTGTGTTTCTTCAAGTTGCCAGGTCTGGGACTTGAACTGCAGTGGGCCTTGTGCTATCCAGCTACCTTAACCACCAGGTCATTGACTGGCCCTGCTACCCTCCTTTAACCAATGCTCATATGAAGACGCAGAGCCTCACTGGAGACCAAGTGGTTTGACTTCTCTATTGTTCCAGACCTGCCAGGGCCTTGCCTCCTCTGCTCTGGAGCCCCCCGCTCAGCTCCCCCCAGTCTCGGGGCCTTCGCACGTACCTTCCCCCTGTCTGGAAAGTTGTATCACCTGCACATGCCTGACCCCTCGATCTTCGGGCCTCAGCTCAAACGTCATTAACGTCCTTTTTAAAACCAGTTCCAACGGCCACAGCTCCCTACATGCCTTCATGGCTCTCGGGTTTTGTTTTTTTTTTTTTTTGAGAGATGTTTGCTATAGGGCATGTGTGCTCTCCATAGAGAGAGAGAGAAACAGAAAGTGAGAAATCACCCCCCTGGGGGGATGGCCCTTCTCCTCCAGTCTCCTCTCAGGATTTTGGGCATGGACGCACATGCATGCACACAAGTTTTAAGCTGCCGGGTCCGGGACTCAAACCACAGGACTACATGGAGTCCAGCGATGTAATCAGTATGACATCTGCTGCTCCCCATAGCTCTCATCTTGGTCTATAACCAGAAGTGACCAGTTAATGTCCCTCCACCCTGGATCATGGCTCCTGGGGGGCAGGGCCCAGGCTTGTTTTGTGTACCATGTGCCCAGGATCAAGCTCAGGGCAGGCACTGAGGCTAACCTTAGGAAGAGACTAATTTCTCTGGACCACGGCTGGCTTCTCCCTCCTAACGGGGTAAACAGGACTCCCCTCCAAGGGTTGTTATGAAATCGAGATTGTTCACTCACTCATTCATCCACTTAAAACTTAGTTTGTCTTGAGCACCTCGTATGCCCCAGGCCTAAATCCCCAACTGCCCGCCTTGCAGGGGAGGCCCCCGAGGGCAAGGATGTGGCTAACTCGGACCCAGGGCCACGGATGGGTTCTGTGGGACTCTGGCGGATGAATGGATGAATGAAAGTGCTGTAAAGCTCTGGCGAAAGGGAGGCCTGCTGCTGCCTCACGTGTGACACTGGCCCAGGCCCTGGCCCCAGCCCTGTCCCACTCGGGGCCTCAGTTTCCCCATAAGTACCCTGAGGTGGCAGGACACAGGCTCCATGAGCACTCTCAGTCTTTCCCTCTTTCCAAAAAGCCGACAGTCCCAGGCAGAGCGCTCCTGTGTGGTGGGTGGGGTGGGGTGGGGACTCCATGGTTCATGCTGGGCCCTCCAAGCCCCTGGGAGGCCCTGAATTGACAGCATAGCTGCTGTTGGCACTGACTGTCCACCCCCACCCCCACGGGGTCCCTTCTCAGCTTATGAAGTGCTTCCATCCCTTGCCTTGGCTGGGAGGTAAGAACACCCCATTTCTTTGTCTTTTGGAGAGGTGTTTGCTATAGGGCACGTGTGCTCACCAGACAGACAGAGAGAGACAGAGAGACAGAAAGCACACATGTCCAATGTGAGTTTAAGTCACCGGTTCTGGGACTCAAACTGTGGTCGACTACATGGGAGTCCAGCGACATAGCCATTATGCCAATTGCTGGTCCCAAGAATACCCCCATTTCATAGCTCAGAAGCTGAGGCTCAAAAATGAAGGACCTGGGGAACCAGCAGTTAGCGTAATGCCTATGTTGCTGTCCTGGACCCGGTGGCTTAAAACTCACGCCGGGTGCATGTACGTGCGTGCCCAAGATCCCGAGAAGAGAATGGAGGAGAAGGGATTGCGGTGTGACCATCTCCCCTGGGGGGTGATTTCTCGCTTTCTGTCTCTATGTCTCTCTCTGTCTGTCTGGCGAGCGCACACGCCCTATAGCAAAAATCTCTCCAAAAAAAAAAAATGAAGGACCTGGGGGCCGGCTGGTGGTGTGGTGGTTAAGAGTGCTGGACTCCCACATGGCCGACCACGGTTCGAGTCCTGGACCTGGTGGCTTACTTTCTCACTCCTTCTCTCTCTCTCACACACACACTCTGTCCCTCTGTGGTCAAATTTAAAAAATAAGTAAATAAAGTTAAATAAAATCAATCTTTAAAAAAAAAAATGAAGGACCTGCCCAAGACCATGACCAGCACAGGTCCAGCTGGGCTCTTTTTTAAAAAAAAAAAATTATTTATTTTATTTTATTTTATGTTTATTATTACCTTTTTTTAAATTTTATTTTATCAGAGAGAGACACAGAGAGAAAGAGAGAGGGAGAATGAGAAAGCAAATCGCCAGGTTCAGGACTCAAACTGTGGTCAGCCATATGGGAGTCCACCCCCTCAACCATCATGCCACCTGCTGGCACCCAGCTGGGCTCTTATCTGTCAGAGTCCAAGTCTGAGCTCTCCCTCCCCAATCTGCATTTCCCCTACAGAGTCCTTGGGTGGGAGGTAGCGGGAGAGGTCTCAGTGAGGGGCTGGGCCTTGGGAAGTGAAGAGACAGGTAAAAGGCAGGGTGGGGAGGCCTGAACCTGCAGAAGACTGGAGAGACAGTGGCAATGGCAGTAGGAGTGAGGCGAAAGGAAACAGTAAGGCCTCCAGGACCACACACGGCCCTGTCTGAGCAGGCGCTCCGTGAGCAGGCGCAACTCTCCCCGCCTACCCCTGTGGTGCAGGAGGATCCTCTTGGTCCCTCCTGAGTCCTTCATGTGCTGTCCTCAGGCTTCCGGCATAGGCCAAGGCTGTCAGCCAGCCCCCTTGTAAGGGCATAAGCCTGGCCCACAGCAACAGAGATGAGGAGAGAGCCCGATCCATTAGTCTGGCCTGGACCTGATCCCTGGCATCACTTACACCCTGGAGAGTGAACCCACAGCTCTCGCAATAGATAAACCAAGATAGGATGGCACGGGGGTGGGGAGGGGTCTTGGGGCCCTAGCCCCAGCCTACCTGATCTGCCACGCCGGCCGCAGTGCCATTACTGAGCAGAGAGAAGGTTTCCAATTCCTGCCAGAGATTGCAGAGAGGTGGCAAGAGATGAAGATTCTGGAAAGATGCTCAAAGTCCTATCAGCTAGGGCAGTGGAGGGGCCCCAACATGGGTGGTTTGAGAGTGCAGGGTCCACCGAGGATCCCTGCCTCCAGGCTTGCGGGGAGTCACCTCCACACCGCTGGCCAGCCCGTGGCTGAGCTTTCTACATGCAGCTTCTTGGCACACGGTAAGTGCAAATAAATACACGTGGATTGAAACGCACCCAGCAGACACTGGCATTTCAAACATGCACCGTGCAGGGTTATCTGAGAACGTAAGGCTGAAGGGCGTGTGTGTCAACCCGGGCCATCCCCAGGCTGGTTAAAGTGGCCAGGCCAAGGGAAGGAGCGGTCTGTAACAGGTGGCATCTCGGGTGAGTTAGAGAGTCTGCTGTTCTTTCCCCTTCCAAAGCCTCTGGTGGTCACCCAGGGCTTTCAGCCCACAGAGAGGAAAGTCCACCTGCTGTCAGTCGCTTCTGTCCTACCCCGGCCTGGGCCATTCACACACCTTCCAGGTCGTGGCAGGTCCCTCCCTGCAGACCTCATCTCCACCCCCACCCACCACGGGTCCTGGCGTCCACCTACCTGGGGCCTCTTATACGCCTTCCGAACTCGCAGTCCAAGCTTCTGAGCCAGCTCCTGGCCAAGCTGGGTAACACTTTCATCCTGGAGAAGGCAAGACATGGGGGCTGGGTCAGTCGGACCGGCTCACTGGACACCTTATGAAGCCTTGTGTAGGGGTGGGGTGTGGGCATGGCCACCCCACATTACAGGTGGGAAAGTGGGGTTTGGGGAGGTGACCTGAGACAACATGCTTGTTCCCCAATATTTTGAGGAAGGCAAAGGAATAATATACACATTTTAAAGACAGGGTCTTGCTGTGTTTCCTACGCTGGCCTTGAACTGGGGATCCTCCTGCCTGGGCCTCCCTGAATTACCGGGAATACAGGTGCACACACCATGTTGGCTGTGGGGTAGACCCGGAATTGAACCCAGGTCTCCCTTGTGGTCAGGCCCATAGCCTCTCAGCAGCACGTCATGACAGCCGGGCTTTGTTTCAACGTTAATATTCTCTTTATTCTAAACTTCAGCAGGCAACCACGTCACTGCAGAAGGCTGAAATGTTGGAGAGTCCAAGTTCCCTGTGCCCCGCCCACCCTTGCCCTGGCTCCTCCCCAGCGGTCAGCTGCGTTCCCATCCAGAACTTTTGTAGGTATTTGGGCATAAAGACCTACAAGGAATGCTCAGTTCTGGTCTGTTTGTTTTTCATCTTACCGGAGGACATGCGCGCTGGCCAGAGGGAGGAAGGAGGAGAACTCACTCCCAGTGGGGCGTGGCCACAGCACAAGGCCTCCTCCACTTCTGCATCCTGTCAGGGTTTCTGGAACTGATGCACACATGCCCAGCACCTTGTTGGCTGGTTTGTTTTCGAGTGGCTGGGACCAAGATTCGAACCGTGTGGTTGGCCGTGTGGGATCTAGCTCCCTTAACCACCAGGCCATGGCGCTGGCCCCGCTTAGTTCTGTGTTGTGGATATGCTCTCTTTCTTTCTCTTACGTAACTGGAATCATACAACTGGCTTTTATCCAAACAATGTCTTGAACTCTTGGCAAACGAGGGCAGATGGGCTGTGCAAAGGATCGTTATGAACCCAAAGGGGCAAGGGCGCGTTGGGCTGAGAAAGCGGCTGGCCCGCGGTTAGTGATGGAGGAGGGCACCCGTCCTCCTCCTCCCCGAGTCTGTAACAGCAGGGGCTATGTGCCAGGCTGCCACTCAGGACAGGGTCACGGGCAGGTCTCATGGAGAGTGCAGTCTGATGGGGAAGAGCACTCCCTAAACAAAGAAACTGGTGACGTCAAACTGGTCCAGGCCACAAAGGCACAGGGGACGCTGCGACATCCCGTGCATTTTTCTGTCTGCTCACCTCATTGACAGGCTCCTGGAGCCCAGGGTCTGCCTCTGACGAACCTCTGGTCCCCAGTGCTCAGCTGGAGCTCAGTATTTGCCCAACACAGACTGGTCAAAGGCCAGGAGCCCTTGGCTTGAGTACTTTCCTCAGGCACGCATGGGCTTCTCGGGGCGGGGTCCTAGTTTCTTTACCTGGGAGGGGATCGAAGCTGCTCTGGCTCCTCCTGAGTGAGTGCCCAGTGAGACCCAGATGTGGGTCTGCTATGGACACTACGAGATGCCCTGTGGGCCAGGGGCTAGTTGACGCAGCAGAGTCTTACCGTGAACTAAACTGAACTGGGGAAGCGAGAATAAGCTCTGGCCAGTTGGTGACATGGTAGTTAAGGGGCCCGCATCCCACATGGACACCTGAGCAGTTCAAGTCTTGGACTCAGTGACTTGAAAATCATGCTGGGTGCAAGTGCGTGCATACTCAAAGTCCCACGAGGAGAATGGAAGTAAAGATTGCAGTGTGGCCATCTCTCCAGGGGTGATTTCTCACTTTCCCTCTCTCTGGCGAGTGCAAGCACCTATAGCAACAACTGAAAATAAGAAGCCAGCAGATGGCATGGTGGTTGGCAAAGGACTGTGGCTTACCACAGTTCGAGTCCCGGATCTGGTAGCTTACTTTCTCATTTTCCCTCTTTCTCTCTCTGGTCAAATCGAAATAACAATGATAATAATAAATTTTAAAAAAAGAATTATTTAATTGTATTTATTCATTTATTTATTTATTTTTAATTTGACCAGAGAGAGACACAGAGAGGGAAAGTGAGAAATCAAGCCACTAGGTCCAGGATTTGAACCATGGTCACACGTAGTCACCACGTGGTAATGCCCAGCACCCTAACTACCATGCCACCCACTGGTTCCCTAAAATAAATAATTATTTTTTAAAAAAAGAAAGAAAATACTTATTATTGAGTGCACGAATGGGGAGGGGCCCTTGCCCCGCTCTGAGTGGGCCCTCGCCCCTTGTTCTCCACTGGTCACTTCCCAGCCTCAGGACCCCGGCACAGATGGCCTCCTTCAAATCCTCACAGCACCCCTGTCCTCGGCATGGAGGGTAAGAGGACTGACTAGGTCCAGGCTGCCTGGGTTCGAACTGCAGCTCGGCCACCCCCAGCCCCTGTGGCCTCGGGTACGGTCTTTCCTCTCCGAGGAAATGGGAAACAGCAGCGTGCACCTCTCAGGGCTGTGGCAGGATTGGGTGAGCTGGCACGCAGCAGAGCTCAGTGAGAGCTACTCCCAGGGTCCTCTGTGTCACAGGGGTGCCAAGGCTCGGGAAGAGGGGTGGCCCGGCGCAGGTGAGGGTCGAACCCTCCTTGTGGCGCCCCAGCTCTTTGAGGGCACGCGCCTTGCGGAAGATCGCGCGGATGCTCTCGCCGTCCAGGCCCAGCGCCTTCTCGCTGTCCTCCAGCGCCTTCTCGTACAGCCCCTGCCAGAGAGCAGCAGGCGGCTCACTGGTCAGGGCCTGTGCCCCTGCCTCCCCGCGCTGACCCCACCTCGGACTGAACACCATCTTCCCTCCCTGCAGAGGGCGGGCGGAGCAGTGGTCGGTGGCGAGTGCTCCGAGTGAGGCCGGAGGTGCTCTGGTGTTCAGACTCTAACCCAGGGAGTCAGTGCGTCCACCTGATGGGGCTGCAGGGGACAGGCAGGACCGTGTGGCAGGGGCCAGTGGGTGCTACGGCAGTGAGCCCTGTCACTCAGTCTCTGTCCACATGTGCCTTCAGTTCAGAGCGTCACAGGTGGAGGGAGCAATGACAGCTCTGAGACGTCAACCAGGAGGGAGCTGTGTGCACACAAGGCCTGAAGGGGGAGGCCCACGGGCATCTCTGGAGGAGCACACGTTGATGGCACGGTGGCCGCGGTGTGACCGAACTGCCCCAGGACCTGAGGGAGGACTGACCAGAGGCAGAGCAGGAGGGCTGAGGAGGAGGCTGGGTTCGAACTGCAGCTCGGCCACCCCCGGCAGAGACTGAGCCCGGAGAGACAGTGAGGAGACTGAGGTTGAGGGGATAGGATGGGAAGGGGGAGGCCCAGAGAGAGGAGAGAGAAGCTGGACTCCTGCAGAGGCCCAGGGTCACCCGAGATGCTGACTAAACTCATCCGGTGCGGGGCCAGGGAATCAGTCTCTCCTTGAGAACTTTGCCTCGTGCTCTCCAGTGGGCCTGTGGTGCAGCTGGATGGAGAGCTGCCGACCGCGCCCAGATGTTCTCGCGGTCAGATTTAGACAGGAGGGGGAGGCGCAGGTCCTGGGCTTCAGAGGAATAGCAGCCAGGACAGAGGGGAGATGAGAGGAGGGAGGGTCGGGCTCACCATGGTGAGGCAGCAGGTGGCCCGGGCAGGGTGGAGGAGGGAGGGTCGGGCTCACCATGGTGAAATAGCAGGCGGCCCTGTTGACGTGCAGCTTGCACAGCAGCTCCCGGGGCAGGGCCACCTGGTCGGAGGCGGCGTAGTCGGCCACGTTCAGCCCCTCCATGTACTGCACCAGCGCCTGCTTGTAGTCCTTCTCCCGGAACAGGTCATTGCCCTCAGCAAACAGGTTCTGCACCAGCTTGAGCAGAAAGGCCTGTCGGGGCAGGGTGCATGGGGCTCAGGGGGTCTTCTCCCTCCAGCCCCAGCCCTGGCATATGGCCCCACAACCCTGCCCCCTAGACGCCCCCACCCCTTGCCTTCGCCCAGCCTAGCGGCTGACGCTCACCTCATATTCTTCTTGCTTTAGGGGTAGTGTCGACCTAGCAGGAAAAGAGAGGGCACAGATCTAGGTGAGCCCAGGGTCCCAGTCTCCGGTGCCAGGAGCCAGAGCTGTAGGCCAGAGGTCATGCCAGGAGAGGGCCCTCTGGCTCAGACCTTGGGCGTCACCTGTGGACTAGGGAGGGGACAGCAACATTGCCACACAGGCCTTCTGTTTGTGATGGAAGGCCTTGAGTCTCCCCGGGGTCTGGCAGCCAGGCCTTCCCTGCTCCAGCCATCCTCTGCCTCTACCAAGTCCTTAGTTACATGAGGGGACGAAGGAGAAGCCAAGGTCGGGCTGAAGAGGCCCCCACGGCTGGAAAACTGCAGGAAGAGGAGATAGACTCTGGCCTGGCAGGACCCACAGAGCTCCAGTCCAGCTCAACGCCAGGAAGAAAGGATGGGGTTAGGGTTCCCGCAGCAGAAGTGGCGAAGACAGGGTAAGTGACAGAAAATGGCAAGAAGTATAAGCATTGTCAAGAAATGAACTAGAGCCAGCTCCGTGGTGTAGCAGTAATGCCTACTCAAGAGAAACCAGATCCCACGTGGAGACCGCGGTTTGAATTCCCAGCCCGGTCAGCCAGAAACGCAAGCTGTGTGAGTGGGCTTGGCCAGAGCCAACCAATTGGAGGAAGGGGGTCACAGCATGACCAGACCCTGTGAGGGCTTCCTCTTTTCCTCAAGGAAAAAAAATTGAACATGCAGACAACCATGGCCTTGCCAAACCAAACCTGCAGGCCCTGGTGGGGAGGAGTGCAGGAGTGGGGGCTGGGCAGCAGACTCCACTCGGGGGCCCTTGGCTGGGGAGCCTCTGCCCTTCTGTCCATGTCCATAAGACACCGAGTCTGGGGGCCAGCAGTTAGTGCAATGGCTATGTTGTTGGACTCCCATGTAGTCGACTATGGTTCAAGTCCTGGACCCAGTGGCTTGAACTCACAGTGGGCGCATGTGCATGTGTGCCTAAGATCCCTAGAGGAGAATGGAGAAGGATTCTGGCAAGGCCATCCCCCCAGGGGGGTGATTTCTTGCTTTCTATCTCTCTGTCTCTCTGGAGTGCACATGCACCCTATAGCAAAAACCTCTCCAAAAAAAAAAAAAAAAAAAACACCAAGTCTGTCATCCTCTCATGCCAGACCAACAAACTGGGTGGGGTCTGGGCACCCTCTCCTCTCCTGCAGCGGAGCAAGGCCAGGCAGGTGTGGCAGAAACCAACCTCCCAGAAGAACTGCAGCACACCTGCCCGGCTGAGTGCCCGCACTGGAAGAGAAGCTGGGCTTTGTCTGCCGGCCCCTCATTTCACACAGAGGAGAGACACATTGGGGGGGCTGTGACTTGCCCAAGGTCACATGGCAGGTCAGCATCAGAAGCAGGGCCAGAGTGAGGAGAGGGGGGCTCTTTGCATTGTTGATGCTACCCCCAACACGGGGAAAGAAAGAGCAGCTTCAGCTAGGGAGGGAGAGATGGCGAGAGATGAGACCCTGTCTGTGTGCATGTGCGTGCACGTGTACCTGTGTGTGTGCACGCCTGTGCATGCATGCACGCCTGTGTGTGTGAGACGAGCCCCTGACTGCCACACGGGCTCGCCGTCCCACCCTCCCACTTGCCTCCTGTCATCAGAGGCCAGGCCCGTCCCTCTGCCACTGCTGGTACAGGTGTCTGTCCAGCGTACAGCCCTGACACCATCCTCCTAGCTGGTCTCCAGCTTCCAGCTCTCCCTTTCAGCATCACCTTCATCGTCGAGGTCACAGCCCTGTCTTAAAGACATATGAGCCTGGAGTTGAAGGCTCTGTGTGAGCCAGTGCCACCCCCTCCCCGTCCATACTCACTCAACGCCTCCCGCAGGTTCTGGGCCCTATTGAGCGTGAACACCACTCAGAGGAGCACGCCTACTGTGTGCCCCGCAGCGCCGTCCCGCAGGGGGCCCACGGACACAGAGCTTCCCAAGAACACCTCCTCAGGAAACGGGGAGGAGGACGCAAGAACCCATCCGGCCTCTTCAACCTCACACGCCCCTGCAGGGAAGGGGCCTTATGTGGGTTTCACAGGCAAGGGGAGGCTAGGACTTGCCAGAACGAGGACAGGGAGTGGCTCCACACTGCTCCACTCACAGAGAGAGGGCATTTAGGTTAAAGACAGAATTCTTCCTGAGAAAACAGTGGTTGCAAGTCCGCCTTGGTCACCAGATCGACCTCTGAGCAAATCTGTGCACTGACCCGCAATCAAACCCCACCCTCACAAATGACAAAGTCTGGCCCCCAGTGAAGTGGAAGGAGGGCAGGGGCTCAGGTGCCCACATCTCCTGGGGCGACTGCGGCCAGCTGCGTAGCCAGCGGCCACGTGGGGATGATCAGAGGGAGCGACGGCCCTGGGGCAGAGTTCTAGGTGGATGAGAACCCTGATCAAGTTAGCCCAGCTCTGGGCACCCTCGGGAGCTGGGAACAGTGAGCTGTCTCCCGGGCTCCGGGCCGGGCCCTGTACACCCACCATCTTTCAGTCTTCACAACCACCCAGTAAGTAGGTGGCCTTATTTCCGTCCTGCAGATGAGAAAGCTGAGGCTCAGAGAGGTTAAGAAAGCTGAGAAGAGAGAGAGTGTCATGTTAACGTCAACACTCGTTTCACGCCAGCAACACGGACACCGAGAGTGTGCAAAGGCAGTTTGGGGCACTGTGGTGAGAAAAGGCAGGGAGCGCCTGATAGGCCCACGTGAGAGGACAAAGCTGGGGCGTATTCAGTGTTGTGGGGAGCCTTATTTAAGAAAAAGGGTACAGGGCCAAGAGCAGTTTGCTAGGGTCCGCCTTCCAGGACCTGGGAGGTGTGCGGCTGAGTGAGGCCGAGAAGCGTAAACCTCCTCGGCATCATGATCAATATGCCTCTGAGGATCTGTCTCAGAGAGATGTAAAAAATAAAGCCAGTAAAAATATTTTGTGTGGGAGACCAGCAGATGGTGTAATGGTTACATCACTGGACTCCCACATAGTTGATGGTGGTTCAAGTCCCGGACCCGGAGGTTTAAAACTCACACCAGGCACATGTGCATGTGTACTCAAAATCCTAAGAGGAGAATGGAGGAGAAGGGACTGCAGCGTGGCCATCCTCCCTGGGGATTCTTGCTTTCTATCTCTCTCTCTCCAGCAAATGCACATGCCTTAAAGTAAAAAAAAAAAAAGAAAAAAGAAAAATTGTGTGTAGGGGCCAACAGGTGGCATGGGTACCAAGACCACCAAGGTAGCTGGATCCCATGTGGCCAACCTCGCAGTTCAAGTCCCAGATCCAGTGGCTTAAAAATCACACCAGGTGCATGTGTGTGCCCCAAACCCCAAGAGCAGAATGGAGGAGAGGGTATTGCGGTGCGGCTGTCCTCCATGAGGGCATGCTTTCTCCCTTTCTCCTTCTGTTTGGCAAGCACACATGCTCTATAGCAAAACTAAAAATAAATAAATAAATAAATAAATAAATAAAAGGGTTAGTAAAAATATTTTGTGTATAAAGAAAAACAATTTTGGGACCAGCAGATGGTATAATGGTTACACTATTGGACTTCCACGTGGTTGACCGCAATTGAGTCTTGGACCCAGCGGCTTAAAACTCCTACTGGGAGCGTATGCGTGTATGCCCAAGATCCTGAGAGGAGAATGGAGGATAAAAGATTGTGGCATGGCCATTCCCCTAGGGAGAAATTTCTCGTTTTCTGTCTCTTTATCTCTCTCTGTCTTTCCGGCAAATACACATGAACTATAGCAAAAATCTCTCTTAAAAAAACAACAAAAAGAAACAAAACAATTTTTAAAAATCTGTTATGTGTGTGCTGGGGGACATTTCATGGAAAGAAATAGGTTTTAGAGTCAGCCAGACCTGGGTTAGAATGTCACTCAATAGCTGTATGACCATATATAAGTTTCCTGACCTCTCTGAGCCTCAGCTTTCTCATTTGCAAAACAGAAATAAGGCCACCTACTTTACTGGGCTGTTGTGAAGGTTAAAAAGATGACAGAAGTCACCCCTGTAGTATTAAGTGCTGTGCATAGAAAGCTGGGTCCCTAGGCCAGCAGGTGGCAGCTAGTTAAGGTGGTTAGATCCCATATGGCCAACTGCATGGTTTGAATCCCAGACCCAGAGGCTTGAAAATCACACCAGGCACGTGTGCATATGTGCCCAAAACCCTGAGAGGAGAATGGAGGAGAAAGGGCTGCAGCATGGCCAATCCCCTACGGGGTCATTTCTCGTCCTCTCTCTGTCTCTCTGGCCCTACAGCAAAACTGAAATGAAGAAGGTTGGATCCCAGCTGGATCCCATGTGGCAGACCAAGACACGTGTTCGAATTCCAGCACTAGTATCTTAAAAAACATGTCAAGCACATGAGCATGCGCGCTCAAAATCCCAACAGGACGGAGAAACGAGAAGGGATTGGGTGTGACCGTGCCCCATCGGCAGGTGCTCTCCTTCCTCTCCCTTTGTCTCCCTCTCCCTCTCTTTCCTCTCTGGTGAGTGTATACATGCCCAACAATGAAAAAAAAAAAAAAAGATGGATGCAATGGCTCTTTCTGCACAGAGCCCAAGGGACAACAGTGCTTGAAAAGCAAAAACGTGACTTATTAGCCATGTGCAGGCACGCAGGGGGATTAACAGGGCGTGGACGTGCCCAAGTGCAGGGTGAAGAAAAACGAGGCACTGGACAAGAGCAGAGGACAGCCAGGGTCTGGGGTGGGCATGCGTGTACAGCTGATGGCCATGCCACGCCGGCTCTGACCTAGCCAACCCCACCTTTTCACAGTCCCCGCCACCTTCCATGTCCATGAGCCCGAACAGCAAGAAAAGGGGGAGCTGGAACGTGGCTGCGGAGGACAGACCCCTCCCCAGGAGGCCCGCCCACCGCCCGGCCCGCACACTTACTGAATGAACTGCAGCCCCTTCTCGATGTCTGCCTTCCGTTTCTGCCTCTCCATCAGTCTCTGGGGAGAAAGCACAGTTCGCCAGCCAGTCACGGGGGCTGGGTCTTAGCCATCCCACCCCCTGCGTGGGCCCCTCTCACTCCCACTCTCATCCCACCACATGGGTAGGCAGAGGGTCCCTGAGGACCGTGACCCATCTCAGAGTCTACAGAGACCACCTGGATCAGACCAGATGCCCCCAAGGCCATACCCCATTGGACTCCGACTTACATGGTGTCCTTGGTGGGTGTGGTCATGGAGGCCACCTGCCCTTCTGGAGGGAATGTTGTTTCATCCCCATCAGACCAGGGAGGGAACTGAATCACAGGGAGGATTTGAACTCAGGACACGCTTTCCTTCACACCCACAAATAGCTCTCTGCATCATGATGGCTGCCCAAGGAGGAATGCCTGGCAGTAGATGGCCACCTAGTGGCCGCCATGGCACAGACAAGGTGTGAAGCTGGGCTCAGGGGAGCCTCTGGACCTGAGGGGCCCTCTCAGCCTCTATCCTCCCTTCTTGGACCACCTGGTGGCTGGCCAGTCCTTGCCATCTGGCCACCGAGGCCTGCGCTGGGGATGCTAGAGGTAGTTCTAGCCCGGGTGCTGCCCTCAGGGAGTGTTTTGTCTGGCAGATAAACTAGTCTTTAGCTGAGTGCGGTGGGCACATCTGTAATCCCAGCTACTCAGGAGGCTGGGGCAGGAGGACCACGAGTACAAGGCCAAGCTGGACAATAGAGCGAGACCCTGTTTCTTAACAAAGAAGGACGTGGGGGAGGGAAAGGGAGAATAAGAAAGACAAACTGGTCCTCGCACGATGAAACTCTGCCACGTGTCCATAGCCTGTCGGCTTGCTCCCAGCGGCCTTGAGTCGTCTGTGGACACAGAGACCTGGGCATGGATCTCAGCGTTCACACTGTGTGTTGTGGTTTAGACAATGGTTTGTTTCTCCAAAGGCTCATGTAAGAACTTGTTTGTACTGTACCGATGTCCCTTCGTGGTACCCCTGGGTGGCACCTCTGGGTGTGATCCTCATTACGGCAAGTCCCCATGGCTGAGAGCTGGTGGGTTTATGAGGAGAGGAACGAGGCAGTGGCAGCCACGTGGACACAGACCAGAGCAAGGAGGGGCGTCCAGAGAGCCACCGTGCTCAAGATCTGCCCTGCGCCACGGGCACTGCAGGCCTGGCTTCCGCTCCGGACGTTCCCGCCACCAGAGTCATGTGCCCAAACCCACCTCCACGCTCATGGGCTGCCCGGCCGCAGGCGTCCGTCAGCAGTGCAATGTCATACTAAGACGGGACGTGACTTTGGACCTGTCTCCCTAGTGGGAAAACAGGGCTGATGGCAGCTCTAGCCACTGTGGCCTGTCATGAGGGGTCAGGTGACAACACGTGCAGAGCACCCAACAGATCAACAGACAACCATGGGAAAAGGTGCCAACCACCCTCCCTCCTGTGGAAACTGCAGGTATTTCTGGGACGGCATCACTGACACAGGAGGTCAGCAGCTGTGGCCTCTTGCTGAGCTTCCCTGTGGGTAAACAAGCCCCCATCCTCCTCACACCCACTCCAGGCCCCCAACCACAATAGGTCACTGGGTTTCCTGTCTCCTGGCCTTCACCCTGTGGTTCCTCCCGCCTGTCCTGCCAGGCTCGGCTCCATCCTGCCCAGGGAGTCCCACCTGTCCTCCAACCATCTGTCCTGGTCTCCCTGCAGACCCAGACACACCCTTCCAGCTGAGGTTTCCCTGACCTGGGGCGCCTCGGAGGGGGCAGACCGGGTCCTGCCCTTGAGGAGGTGCTAATCCAGGACAAGGGGGGGCCCCCCCGCACCTCACAGTGTGGCCTCGCATTGGCCAGGAAGCTGCTGGGGTGGGGGGTAGGGAGAAGGCCTGACCACAGGTTCCATGGGGCACGGCCACAGCGGATGACCACCAAACCCTGCCATTTTGACCTGGGTCACAGTCCAGCCTTTGTCCCTTCCCACCACCTGGCGATGCTGCCTGTCCCCAGACGACCGTCACTCCCTGCCCACTCACACCCCCAACCTCCCTGAGTTCATCATGGGAGAATCTTTTGAACCCATAAATCAGACTCTGTCCCCCCCCCCCCAGAACCTCGGTCAGCTTGCTTTACCTCTGAGCAAATTTCCCACACACCTATACACATTCACCCCGCAGGGAGTGAGAGCCCCATCGCCCTCCCAACACGGCGCAGAGGCCAGGTGGTGGCACAGTGGAAACGCACGCTGTGGGGCCGACAGAGACCTCCAAACATGCCAAGTGCACGTGTGATCCAGGCAGGCCAAGCCTGGGGGTGGACCGTGGGGTCACGGCCCTGTCGGAGGTGCTCTCTCTTTCTTTCTGTGTCCCTGTCTCTCTACTCATGGAAGAAATAAACTAAAAAAAAAAAAAAGCCTGCTCGTAGAACCCTGTAGTTCTCCCAGAGAACCACAGTGGCAGAGAAGCGCTGCCACAGGGAGACGGGAGCAGACTGACGGTTACCAGCACCACCGAGGAATGCGTGTTCTCTGCTCCAGGAGGTGCAAAGACTCCTCACAGAGCCTTGCCATGCACCCACCTCCGACCTCACAGACTGGCCGGGTGACCCTGCCCGGCTACTCTGCCTCCCTAAGCAACACTTGCTCTGTAAGACAAGGACAGCGAGTGTCCACTGACGGGACCAACAGATGGGAGGGGCTCGTGTCAAGGCCTGGTCCGTAGCAGGTACGTAACAAGTGGTGGCTACTAACAGGTCAGAATTCCTACGCCAGACATTCGATCTGACACGCATTAAATGTCGGTGTTCCAGAATCCTGGCCAGGCCTCGTGACCAGTGACAGACATGGACGAATGTTCCAGCGGCTGCACTCAAGCCAGTCTTGGGTAGTAAACGTAGACCGGGATGAGAACAAGCAAGCGAAGTTTCACAAAGGGGGAAATGATTGAATTAAGCCTTGAAGGATGAACAGGAGTTGGCTTCTGTTAAGAGAGAGGAGACGTTCTGGGTGAGTTATGTGATAGTTTCGAAAATGAACGCTGGGCCAGCAGGTGGCACAGAGGCTCAGTGGCTGGATCCCACGTTGCCCTCCTCTATGGAGTGAAACTATTGCTCAAAGTCACAGTAATACAAACACCACCATGTCACAGGTCAGGGGACGCAGCTCAAGTCTCAGACATGGCAGCTTGAAAAATATGGTGGGCTGGAACTAACAGGTGGCGTGGTGGTGAAGGCACTGGACACTCCCACATGGCCGACCACAGTTCGAGTCCCAGACCTGGTGGCTTGCTTTCTCATTTTCTCTCTAACTCTCTCTGGTTAAATTAAAATAAATGAATGAATAAGCAAAATAAAAATAAATAATTCTTTAAAAAAGACCACCCTCCCCCATGAGTGTAACTGTCACTCAGGGACACAGTACTGCTAAGTAACACCAAGTCAGAGGCTCGGGTCAGCGGGGCTCAGGATGCAGAGGAGGCTGGAGGGACTGTCATGCCTCCCCTTCTAGAAGTTTCTACTCCTCCACACTGGTGAGTTGGTCTCCTCTGTGCCAAGGACAAAGGGAGACCAGGAAGGGAGGATTTCATTCAGTCCAATCAACGTTGACAGCTGTCCTACCTGGTGTAGGCACCCAGCACACATCATAACATGCCCACCTCTCCTGTACCGAGTGGGAAGGGGGCCAGATACAGAATGAATCACTTTCTATGAAATTTGTTCAGGGCGCACTCCATGACCTAGTGGGCAAGGAAGTCGGATTCCACATGGCCAAATGCATGGTTCAAATCCTGGCCCTGGTGTTTGAAAAACACGCCAGGCACATGTGTCCAAAACCCCAACAGGCTGGAGAAAGGGAGAAGGAACTGCACTGTGACCGTGCCCCTTTACGGCACGCTTTTCCCGGTCCCTCTCCTCCTCTCTCCCTCAGGTGAGTATTCATGCCCTCTGCAAAAGAAAACAGAAAAAGAAAAAGAAAAGGAAAGAAATGTGTTTAAGGTCACAGTGAGCCTAGGTTGAAAGGGACTAGAGAGGCCAGCTTGTGCCCTAGTGGTTAAGGGAGCCGGATACCACATGGCCAACTGCATGGTTCAAGTCCGAGACTGCGTGGCTCGAAAAACACGCTGGGTACATGCACGTATGCCCAAAATCCTAGCAGGAGGGGAATGGTGGAGAAGGAACTGTGGTGTTACAATGCGCTGCCATAGGGTGCTTCAGTCCTCTGTCTCTCTGGTGAGTGCACGTGTTCCCTGACAAAAATTAAAAATGAAACAGAATAAAGCAAAGGGTCTGGGCATGGGCATGGGATGGCCTTTTTTTTTTTTTTATCATAGGGAGCACGTGCTCATCAGAGAGAAACAGAGGAAAAATGAGAAATCACTCCCCAGGGAGAGGGCCACACTGCAATCCCTTCTCCATGCTCTTCTTGGGATTTTGGGCATGCAAGCACACATTCCCAGCGTGATTATTTTTTAAAAGAATGATTCGTTTACTTTGTAATTATTATTATTCAATTTGAGCAGAGAGAGAGAGTAAAAGAGCAAGCCACCAGGTGCGGGACTCATACCACAGTCTGCCATGTGGGAGTCTAGCACCTTAACCATCACACCACCTGCCAGCCTCTCCCATTGATTGGTTAACAATGTGCTGGGGTCAGGGTTAATGGGTGGCATAATGGTTATGTGGTAGTTGACCATGGTTCGAGTCCTGGACATGGTGGCTTAAAACTCACACGAGGTACATATGTGTGTAGATGCCCAAAATTCTGAGAGGAGAAGGGATTGCAGCATGACCATCCCCCCAGGGGTGATTTCTCACTTTCTGTCTCTCTGTCTCTGGCGAGCATATGTGCGTTATAGCAAAATTCTCTCTAAAACAAAACAAAACACAATGTGCTGGGAAAGTAAGCCTCCTCCCTGCCAGCATGGCAGGACCTACCTCCCCAAAACAGCCCTCTCTCCTCAGTTTCCTCCTCCAGGAAAAACATTTGTTGTTTTTTTTCTTCTTCTTCTTCTTCTTCTTTTT